CACTCTTGTAGTTTAGGAAATGTTGAAATTGAGTTGTTTTTTTATATGGAAATGATTGGAATTTAATGGAAATGATGTATAAATGATGAATTCATGCTTGAATCAAATTAGAGATCAAAGGAAACAAGTTCCCTAACATTCGACCATGATGAATATTCTTGGGAAAAATTTTACAAAAATTTTTCTAAGGGCTTAGATTGATTATAAGAATGATCCTATGTGCTTGGTATTGCGTTTTGGATGAAATTGGAACTTTGGTGGGTTTTAAGGACTATTTCGCATGGTTTGAAAAGTTGAAGGATTAAATTGAAAGTTTTTGAAAAGTTGGTGGTGAAATGATAATTATGTATAGTTAATGCACTAGTTTGGAAGTAATGTGAAAGTAGTTGAGTATGATGATAGATATGGATTAAAGTAAATATATTAAGGAACCATATTGGATGTTTTCGAAAATATTGGGATTTGTTTAAAGAAAGGTTTTTTTTTTTTACTAAATGTGTAGTTTTGAAACGTTTGGTGAATTGTTGTGATGAATGGTTATTTAAGGGATTTAAAAGGTTAAATTGATAGAATTAAAGTTAGTTTTCCATTTGGTGATAGAAATTTATATCGAACATACATTGATGACAATTTTTAGAATTTTTATACGAATTCCAGTTTATTATATTATTTAAAGTACTAATATAAGTTTGAAATGTTATATGTTGGGTAAATGATTTCGGATAGATTATGATCGAAATCGAGGCCAAAGCAAGCAAAAAAGAAAGGACAAAGTTCGAGGGTGAAAGCAATAGCCACACTAGTGAGGCATCAAGTGAGTGCAACTAACTTTTTATTTAAAATAATATGAGGACGACTTGCGATGAGTCAACCTCGACCGATCTGTAAAGAAATTCAAATCGTATTTTGAAAAGATACATTTTATTATTGTTTTATTTTATAGCATGTAAATATTTTTGGGTATGAACTACCCAATATTGGTTTTATGAGAATTGTTTTCTATTCGATTATATGATTTTTTTATATATACAAATCAATATATAATTTTGAACAAAGCCTTTTATATGAGATTAAGAATTAGTGGTACAATGACATGCCATGAGGTGGAGTGATATCTAATTACTGATTACTGATCTAGTACATTCATGTACATCTATTTGGCACTGTATCTGCATTATGAAATTCAAGATGTTTTGACATCTTGAATTATCATATTTGATTTTGATTTAGTATAGTGATGTTGTGCTCTACAATACCTATATTTCTGTCTAGCACTAAAGGTGCTATCTATCACTGGCAGTAAAACCGCATATAGCACACATACTTGTTATTTAACTTGTGTAGCTTATATGATCATGAAAATACAGTGGACGATGATATAATTTGAAATAGAAAAGTACATATATGAAATGACACAATACAATTTGAATTACAGAATTTTCATAATAATGTTCTTATTACCAGCTATGATATGATATCATACATGTTTTATTTAATAATGTTTTTATATGATATTGTTTGTTTTATGTGTTCAATATTTTATTTATTTTACATGTTGCCTCACTAAGTGAAAAACTTAGCGTGTGATAGTTTCACATGTAGGTACGAGCAAGTGAGAAAAGTAGAGAACGTACCAACATCATTACCGAGGAAATCGAATTGCCCCTAGAATCAATAAGGACATCATTTTTTGTTATCTTTCCTAGATAGTGGCATGTAAAATAAAGAATTTTAGCCACTATGATATACTAGTTATAAAATGGTTTGTAATATAAAATCTAGTATTGGTTTAAAATAGATAATATTAAATATTATTAGTAGTATAAATGAATAGTATATTATTAAATTATGTTTTAAATATTAATTGGTTGGTTTTTAAATTAGACAATTTTTTTATGATATTGAACAATACATACCTGTCCAATTGCTTCCTAAAAATCAGATTCGATTTTGATATATAAATATTAAATTATGATTTTACGTGATTATTAGTTTAAAATAAAGAAATGCTTTTTAAAATATCAAAGAAACAAAATTTGAATGGTTTATGAATAATAAACGTATTACACGATTAATGTGACTTATTTGACTCGTATACGGGTATGTAAATGGGTTAAGGGTTTTACAAAAGGCCACAACGCTTTACTAGCACAAATATTCAGATACATTACCTCTTTTTACTGGTAATAAGATGCCTCATACTTTTCCGAAAGTATTCACTATCACTACACAATGTTAAAAAAACAAACGTACCTAAGGTCACCATCCTCTACTCAAACATGACCATTAGATATGTCTTTGCCAAAAACACTGAGGACCCCACTGAACAATGTTCATTCGTTCATCGGTTGTGACTCTCCGCTTAAGTCAGAAGAGATGAACCGCAAACAGTCGACACAAATGATTGGTCCCAACCAAAAAACACCCAACAAAATAAAAAAAGAGCAATTATACTTTTTACTATGAATTTCGGATCAAACCATTTTATAACATTCCCTTCAATTAAGGGGAATAACATGTTCTACCTCTAGAGGGCCTCCGAAAACCTTCAAATCTTCGTCGTACCAGACTTGTTGGAACTGTTAGCTTTCCATCAACCAAGGTCTTTAGATAGACCTCTCCATCCATCAGAACCTTCGACTCTCGTCAATCGTGACTCTTTGTTCAAACCAAAAAAGATAACCTTCAACAGGGGATGAGTAAAATTTATTGTCATAAACAATTATATATTTAGTTTTTGTAATTATTATGAAATGGTGTGTTTGTGTTGTTTAAATTAAAAATATAATGTTTTAATATTTGTTTATGAGTTAGGATCCACTTACATTTAATGTAAACTTTTTTAGTTTTACACCTTTTTATGATTGTTGGATAAGGAAAATCAAAGGTTGAGATTAACCCCTTATTTTTTCAGTGAATATCTTCACATTTTCTACTATTAATCTCAGTATTTGATTTTTTTCATCCAAAGTTAATATTTATTTTTACACTAGGTGTAATTGGATCCTATCCAGGACTGTATCTAGGCCTGGGTAAGAAGGGCACCTGCCCATGGACCAGAATTTCTATTATGTATTATATTTTAAAAAATAATTTTATAGTAGTTATATGACCCGATTTTTTTTAATATATATTATCAAAGGTTTAATTTTTTCACTACTTATTATTAAGGCTTAATTTTTTCAATATTTGTTATAGGGGTATACTTTTAAAATTTAATTTCTTTTCTAATATTTATTTGTTATTACGAGATTTCAATACTTTTTTATTAGATGTGCAATCTTTTTTCAATATTTGTTATTAGGGGTATACTTTTAAAATTTAATTTATTTTCTAATATTTATTTGTTATTACGAGTCTATTTTTTTCAATACTTTTTATTAGATGTGCAATCTTTTTTCAATATTTGTTTTTATGAATATACTCTTAAATTTTAATTTTTTAATATTTGTTATTAGGGACATATTTTTTTCAATACTTGTTATTATAGAGTCATCCTTAAAAATTATTTTTTCAACACTTATCATTACAAACAATTACTTGTATAAGGGTATGTAACCACAACAATGATCGTTATGCAGTGGTAACAACATCGTCCAAAACCACAATATCTACAATTGTTATATCTACAATAACACATATTATTAAAAATTCACAATCACGATACTTGCATTGACGCAATATTATCATTTATGTCAGCAATAACAATAGACGCAACACGACTGAAAATATAGATATAAATTATAATTTAAATCCTTAGATATAATTTTCTTTTTCACCCTAAGGACACCAAAATTCGGGTCTGATTGTATCTTTTGTTTATATATATATATATATATATATATATATATATATATATATATAATACAAAAGAGAACGAAATTCAGCTAAACTTGGATGGTCAAAGCTCAACAAAAAATATTGTAAAAAAGATGGTCAAAACGAGAAGCCATTGAACTTGAAATTCATTAGAAAAATGTCAAATACGCACATAAATAAGATTTAGTGATATGTGACGAGCCAAATAAATAAGATTTAGTGATATTGTTACGTAGTTTAATCTTGAATTATTGTCGTGAACAGATAATTACGAGATCATTTTACAAAACTTATTGAACTACTGGGTATCATTTTATTATTTGTTGAAAATTTGGTATGGAGCGGTTTGGTGAATTGGATTAGGGTTGGATTTCAGGAATAAACTGAAATAAAACAAAGGAACACCAAACAAAAACTGAAGTGACAAAAACAGAGTTTCGAACGCAGTAGCTGTAACTCCACCTTCCGTCTTCCAACGCTCTTTTCTCCATTTCATTTACTCTCCTTTTGATTAGATTATTTTTCCAGATCTGAATTACAAAGGTTTATGCCTTGATTTTGCAGAGAAAAGAACGAAGAAATGGCTCGCAAGAAGATCAGAGGGTATGATTCCAAGAGATTGTTGAAGCAGCATTTCAATAGGCTTTCCGGAAAGGATTTGCCAATCGAATCTGCACAAGTCAGTTCATTTCTCCTTCTGGATCTCCTGTTTTCGTTCAATATTTCGCATTATTATTATTTTGTTTGCTAAGCATTTCCAACTAATTTCGATATACGAAAATAGTTTTTCCAGATCAGGAAATTTTGAATATAATTTTTACTGGAAACTGTTTATCCTCCTTTATTTCTTGATTACTGATTACTTCAAGTATTGAATTTCAATTGTTTGTTTGGTTATGCAGCTGTGTTTAGGTGACGGAGTCAACTGATTTCAACGAGCTAGCAGAGAAGGAGCCATGACATTTGTCGCAGAAGCTGGTTATTAAACCTGATATGTTGTTTGGAAAGCGTGGGAAGAGTGGTTTGGTTGGCTTAAATCTTGATTTTTCTCAAGTTATTGCTTTTGTAAAAGAGCGCCTTGGCAAAGAGGTTACTACTTACTACCGCTAGTCTGACATTATTGATAAGGTTTAACTTTTAAGGTTAGACTTTGTGTTAACCTCTTGAACGCTTGCATGTGGAAATGGGTGGTTGTAAAGGACCTGTCACAACATTCATTGTTGAACCTTTCATTCCTCACAATGAAGAGTTCTATCTCAACGTTGTGTCGGAGCGACTCGGTAACAGCTTTAGCTTTTCGGAGTGTGGAGGAATTGTGATTGAAGAGAACTGGGACAAGGTACTGTATGAGAAACTAGAATTCTTCATGCCTTATCTTTATTTCTTCTATTTCTTACTGCGATACCTTAATACAGGTGAAGACCATCTTTGTCCCAATCGATTCATCTTTCACTTCTGAAGCTTGTGAGCACCATTTTGTTTACAAAATAAAACCATTTACAAAATACCCAAGCCCAATTACAAACCAGAAATCCGAGTCCATTTCCCAGACCCGTATTCAAACCACCCGGACCTAAATGGATTCAAACCTAGCCCAAACAGCCTAACCCTAACCCTAATAAGTTGCAGCCTCTTCAGCGGCTGTCGTCGCCACTATATGAGATTCCAACCGCTGTTGTTTCCAACATCTTCCCACCGTCGAGCCTAGCCAAACAAATCACCATCATCTCAGTAGCATCAAGAAAAAGAAAAGAAATCAGTCTCAAATCCATCAAAGCCCGAAAAATCCAGGGCATTAAAACCAAAACTCATCACACACAGTGATTCAATAGTAGGGCTAGGGTTGTTTTTTATTCAAAGCCTATGTAAAAATTTTGGGTATAAAACCTGAACATATTGTAAAAAAGAGGGATATTTTTTCCCGTTTCAGAAGCACTATAAAGAATTTTTGAGGTACATTTTTTTATTTATTTCGAATAAAAAATAAATCAAAAAAATATACGTTTATTGTTTACATTAAATAAAAAGGAAGAGAGAGATAAGGGTGAGTGTTTACCTGCTGAGGGGAAGACGAATCGAACTGTGGTGGTCGGAGCAACGAAGAAACTAAAGAGTCGAGGTATTTTGGGGCATTTTGGAGTGTTTAAGGTCGTTATAGGCTATATTAGGCGTCTAGGGGTAGATCTAGGTGGTGGGGTCATTTTCGGAGAATTTAGAAAATTCCAGTTATCGTGTGCGGCGGCCGGAGCGACAACCGGACAGCGGCCGGAGGCGATTAGAGGAGGCTGGCCTACTGCCGGCATGGGAAAGGGAGAGCATCCTAAAGTTTTTTTCTTTTTTTTCTATGTTTTGGTTGAAATGAGTGTAAAACAATTAAGTTATATTTATAGGTAAAGTTTACGGGTTATTCGCGTTTAGCTCCTTAAACCTTTGCCTTGTTTGTTTTTGTTAGTTTATTGGCTATTTAGTCCCTCATATTTTAGCGCATTTTTGCATTTTAGTCTTGTAGGGACTGTTTTGTGATTTGCCCCTTTTTATGTCTGACTTTTTTAATGTTATTTTCTTTTAATTCCCTATAAGTTAGGCGTGTTTTTACATTTTAGTCATGTGCAGTGACTTTTTTTTTTAAATATTCGTCGACTGATTTTGTAATTTTCCCTTTTTATTTTAACAGTTTATTTTTACGCTCAGATAAATGACATAATTTCCTTTAGGTCCTTGTAGTTTAAGCGTGTTTTTTTATTTTAGTCCCTAAATCTATTTTTATTTTATTTCAAATTAGCCTTTAAATTTTAATTTATTTTAATTTAACCACTATTTATTTTTGATTTAGCTGCTAATTTTTATTTTCTTGCACTTTAGTAATTGTTATTTTATTTTATGCAATTAGGTAATATTATATGTTTAATTTATTCTCTTTTAGCTTGGTAATTTGACATTTATGCAATATGGTCCTTATGCATGTTTATTTTTTTATATTTATATTTATTTTACTTTATATTTTTACTTTTTTATTATTTGTTGTTTATTTATTTTAATTAATTTTATTGTTAATCATTTTGTTTCATAGTTTCAATTTTTAGATTTAGTTTTAAATTAGATTAACGCTCAAATCGAACTTAGAATTTGGGACGACACTCTAGTTTAATTAGGGAGCAATTCGAGTCGAGTTTTCGCATAAGATGCCCGATTACTCGAATCGATTGCTCGATTCTAAAATTAATTAATAATTAATATTTTCTAAAACTTTAAGTTTAATAATTTAGATAAAAACTAGGTTTTAAATTAGCCCTCAACCTTAGAAATTGTCGATTTAGGTTCTTATTCTTTTAAGTCTTTTAGAGCTCGATATTTTTGACCCTTTTTAGTCCCCGAACTTCGATTAATGTTTTAATTTTGACATAATTAAATAGGTTAAATATAACCTCCACTTTTAGTAAGATTTCAAACTAGTCTTTTAATTTAGGGAATAATTCGAGTTGGCCCTCGCTTAAATGCTCGAGAGACCATCTCGATTATTCAATTTTATAATTGATTAAAATCAAATAGGATTAATATTAAAGCCTACATTTAGGTTTAGTCCCCTAGGTTCCTTAATGTTCATAATTTGACACCTTAAGCTAGAAAAAAGCCTTTATTTTACCTTAGCTTAATTAGGATTAAATAAAATTTTGTTTGATTGCATTGTTTTTAAACCTAAGGCATTGTTCACATATTAGAGAATTAATGTCATGTCTCCCGCAAGTATGCTCAGAGGGCGACTACCTGTGATTCTCGAAATAAGCCGACATCCTTTTCAAAGATCGCATCATGAGTTTCTAAAAACGAGGCAATATTTGGTTATTAGGCACAATAACTAATCTCCCGCATTTACGCTTGGGGACGAATGCTATCGGTCTCAATAAACGAATATCTTTTTCAACTTTGCATCCGTAATGATTTTTAAATTAAATAAAGATATAACTCAAATTTTTTGATTTTAAATATAGGGTAATTAATTAAGTACCAATTTTTGGGTGCTTGTAGGGGTGCTAATCTTTCCCCATGCGTAGCTGACTCCCGAACCCAATTTCTGGATTTTCGCAGACCTCAAAACTTGGCATTTTAAAAAAAATTAAAACATTTTATTAAAATCACCCGGTTTTTATGGTGTCCCAATCGCACTTTAAATGATTGGTGATGACTCCTCACATTTCGAAAATTTATTTCAAAGAGAAAACCCCGAGTCGGTATCGATCTTTTCCCCGCCCGAGTGAAAAATAGTATCAACAGCTTGGTGATTGCTGGGGTGTTTTGTTTTTAAAACAACTTGAGAGCCGATCCATGAATTGGTTACCATATATTTATTATTTTGAGAGATTATGAGTTCGATCTTATTTTAATTTATAATTCATTATGCTTTTTCAAAAAAAAAGAGAGATTTTCTCTCTGATTAATGCTTACACTTCTGAGAATATTTAGAATTTTTGCATATCATAACTCTAAACCCGAGCTCTAACCCGATTTACCTAAGTAGGGAGAAACGTCATACCTCATGAGGAGCATTGGGCTTCATTGTGTAGGTCTGATAAAGTATCTCTGGAAAATAATCCCTTGAGCTGAACCCGATTCGCAAGTTTGTAATGAGCCAGAATCGGGGTAAACCTTAGCAAATTGTAAAAATGGCTCGGGAACCCTTGCTAGAACCCAACCTCATATAGAGAATTTAGTAAGACTACCCCGCTAGAACCATGTGGATAGCCTAGCAGAATTAGAACGCTTGCAGTTAGGACTCTTAATTCCGTTGTATACTTTATTTTTCAGTCTCAACTTTGAGTCATATTTAATTTTATTTTTTGCTAAGATTACATTTCTTTGAGTAATCATTTCATCTAACTTAATTCTTTTTGTCTTGTTTCTTCTAACATTGATTTCATTTTGTTTGGTTTTGTTGTATATTTTCATGAACATGGCATATCCTTCAAAGATATTGATCCCTTAAATAACTGATCGTTTAAAAGGTTCTTGAAAAACAATGCCCACAACAATGCCTTTCGTTGGGATCAGAAGAATTTCATAGGTGCTCTACGTAGATCGAGTCTCATCAAGAGAGAGTTTACCTACTAAGGAGATGAGCCAGACATATACCCGCTGAGGTAACAAGTTAGTTAACAATTTAATGTCACGAACCAGCTCAAAAAATTTCTGAAAGTAGGAGATGAACTAGAAGCTTTGAAGACGATGCAGTACCCAAATGTTTGCAGGAGCTGGTAAACTTACAGATGAACCAGATATTCACTTCTAGTGTATCGAGACATTGTCGATTTTTCAAGAATTGTTCAAGGAATAGTTATTTTGGGATCAATGTTTTTTTCATACATTTATTTTGCATGACACTTGCATTCCTTAATACATTTCCAAATCATGCATTAAAACACGCATTTATTAAAATAATTATAATAAGATAAGATTTCCGATCATAGTGATCTGGGTTCACACAAGTAGCAAGAACGCTTTTCATCTGCGTGACATAAGGAAAATGCCTAAAGAAATAGAGGATAAGCTAGCCATAATTGAGAGAAAACAGAAAGAGTTGCAAGAAGAAATGAGGAGAAAGTTGACACAAATGGAAGCTAATATCGCAAAATCTTAGTTTGATTTGCTAAACAAGGTGGAATATATATTTAGGATACATTTGACAACTGGAAAGACCATTGTGGAAGACCCCACACATCCTCTGGGTTTCACACTTGTTCGCATTCTTGAGCATACCTCTGTGCATCAAGGAATCCGATCACTAGTCTGCTTCACTGTCGAGAATCCATAATATTAGGCTAGTTCTTCATTACCCACTGACTGTCCTGCCGCTTCTGGGTTGAAGCCAGGTGAATGTTGTACTAATAATGAGGTCCCTGACCTTAATGAATTAGTTGAAAGGAAAAAGATTATCCAAAGAATGAAAGATATAGAGGAGGTAGTAAAATCTAAGAAGATGGTTGAGTCATTCTATGGGTGTGACTCCAAGGAGCTAAGTTTAGTTCTTGATCTGGTTCTCCCACCAAAGTTCAAGATTCCAGACTTCGAGAAGTACAATGGGACCACATGTCCTTCATCCCACATCACCATGTACTGTTGTTGAATGGTTGGCTACGTGGAAAATGAGAAGTTGCTAATTCATTATTTTCAGGATAGTTTATCTGGACCTGCTTCCAAATGGTATAACCGGCTAACACATACTCAATTCCATTCTTAGAAAGACTTAGCTCAAGCCTTTTGGAGTCAACACAAGCTCATGACCTATCTAGACCTTGATTGAATCATGTTGCAAAGCATGAAGATGAGGCGCAATGAGAGATTTCGAAAATATGTACAATGATGGAGGGATATCGCTTCTCAAGTGCATCCACCAGTGACCGAAAAAGAGTTCACTACTATGTTCATCAATACATTAAAACCTCCCTATATTGATTACATGATAGAGACTTCCACCAAGAATTTCTATGACATTCTCATGTGTGGAGAAATGATCGAAACAACTATCAAGAATGGCAAGATAAGAGGCTATGACAGTACTGACGTCAAGAAAGGAGCTGAGGTCAATACAATGAGGTCTTATTCAGCTAATCATGAGACCAAAACTTATAGAATGACCCGAGAGAAGACCCCTATTGGTGATATTCCAGTAACATATAAATAATTGCTCCCACTACTAGTTGAGAAGAATCTCGTGACTCCAGTTTAGTCTAAACTGAAAGAACCCTTATATCCTGAGGGGCATGATGCTAATGCAGTATGTAGCTACCATAAGGGAAGCTCGGGGCATACTACTGAGA